AGGTGTGGCAGGAGGCATTAGACTGCAGTAGAGTCCAAAATACCAAATCCAACTGCTGCAGAACCACTATGTGATGGTACAGCATATGACAAACCTTATTGTCTTTCTGCATATGCATCAGTATTCTTAATGTAATGTAATTATTCATAAAGTACTTATTCACAAAGTACATTTTTTGTGGTTATATAATAAAATGTTTTAGACACATCATTGTCGTAATCCTGGATATGGTTACATTTATTTATTTTCCTTTTACTCTCTTTTTGTAATATGTTTGCTGAACCTCTGTCCTTAGTTTTAGGACTCAAATGTCAAGATCAATATTTCTGTTCCTTTAGTATGTAGATGATTTCAACAGTCAGCACATTTCTTTCTGACTTAGAAGTGTTCCTCTGTTTTGATCAGTATGTTAATTCTGCCCCCTTTTGGCAGTTTTCTGTACTGCATATACTGCAATGACTCAAAACCTTCTCTAACTAAGCCTGCAAAATATGAATATTAAAATTCTTCTGAAAGACATTTATTCACAACATGCAGTGTGATTTTACAATGGTGTAATTTTTAAATAGTTTAATGTAGAAATGCATAAGCTTGAGATGCAAATGTAACACATTTTTGGTTTGCATTGTCTTTGTTTCTCTTCCTGCAGTATGTGGCCTTGGCCTCGCTGTTCTTCATCCTTCTCTCGATCTCCACCTTCTGCTTGGAGACCCATGAGGCTTTCAACACCATCTACAACAAAACAGAGAATGTCACTACAGGCAACATAACACATGAGGAGGTAAAGCAACAATATTAATAGTTATAGTTACTTAGTGTGGATAAAACTCCTAAACTACTCATTACATCTCTTGTTTGAGGTTTGCATTGCCTTTTTTCTTTGCTGGATGAGGAAGCTATATGCAGTTGTATGTAATATTACCACAGTATCTTAGAATAAACATCAGTGCATGTTTTTATGAAAATGGGGGAGCATTTTACTTCTACAAAGTTGTGTTTAAATTTTTCTCTGTATTTAATTAGACACAAAAGAAGAACAACAAATTAAATAGTACTTTATACAGTGATACCCATGAAATATAAATAATGTCATAGACACTGTAGAGAATCGGAAGGTATCACTAAGTAAATAATAAACTCCTCTAATTTCTTTTTCATTTACTTTACAGATTGTGTATGAAGTTGTGACAGATGGCTGGCTGACATATGTGGAGGGTGTCTGTGTCATCTGGTTCACCATTGAGGTGGTGGCCCGGGTCATCTTTTGCCCTGACAAGGCAGAGTTCTTCCGTAGCACCCTTAACATCATAGACTTTGTGGCTATTGTTCCCTTTTACCTGGAGGTAGCACTTAGTGGCCTATCCTCTAAAACAGCCAAAGATGTGTTGAGCTTTCTACGTGTGGTACGTTTTGTCCGTATCCTGCGTATATTCAAGCTAACCCGCCATTTTGTCGGTTTACGGGTTTTGGGCCACACTTTGCGGGCAAGTACCAATGAGTTCTTGTTGCTAATCATTTTCCTGGCGCTGGGCGTCCTCATCTTTGCTACTATGATCTACTATGCTGAACGTATTGGAGCTGACCCTAAGGATCCAACTGCTGCAGCCCACACCAACTTTAAGAACATTCCCATTGGTTTCTGGTGGGCTGTGGTGACAATGACTACTCTTGGATATGGAGATATGTACCCGGAAACATGGTCGGGAATGCTAGTGGGTGCCCTATGTGCCTTGGCTGGTGTGCTAACCATTGCTATGCCTGTGCCTGTTATTGTCAACAACTTTGGGATGTACTACTCGCTGGCCATGGCAAAGCAGAAGCTTCCAAAGAAAAGGAACAAGCACATCCCAAGAGCGCCACAGCCAGGAAGTCCTAATTACTGCAAGCCAGATGCTCTGGCAATGGCAACTGCTTCTCCACATAGGTTAATGGGCAATGTAATTGGGCCAGGCTTGGTGGAATCTGGAAGCATGATAGGTACTGGAGACTGTCCATTGGCACAGGAAGAGATCATTGAAATAAACAGAGCAGGTAAGTCAGATTGATTAAATATGCATGCTTTAGAATATCATGAAGGACATACCAAATATTGTGCAATTAAAAATAAGCATGAAAATAAGAAAATTCCTTAAATTTAAATGGGACCTGCAGAAATGCACCCATTGCTTTGGATCCAGCATTGTAGCTATAGATTGCACTATAGAACTTTCACAGACACACGTCAGTGCAGTACTGACATGCTGAAAGCTTTTGCCTAGTTCATCACCATAAGGCTATGGCTGATCTGATTGACTGCAACAGTACAAAAGCTGAACCTCATGCACAATGAATTACAGTCCGAGATTGAGACTATAAGCTTCGCACATGTGGTTCTTACTCACGGCCAGAAATAAAAAAAATAAAATAAAGACAGCGGGTAATAGTTTATTTCTCGAAAATTTTCAACTTTCATACTAAGGATTTTAATTCACACTCAAAAATTCAGAGAAATAATAATTTTATGTAAGCAAAATATGAATAGTCACAGGAAATATGTATTCTTCCCAAAATGCATTGTGAGACCTGTCACTGCGCCTGCTTGTGAGACTACACACCGCCTCTCTCTGAGCCCCGTTGCTATGGTAATTAATTATCTGCACCTGGGCTGGCTCTTTCTGTCAGATAGTATGCTGGAGACAGAGTTTCTATAACAAATCAGGAAAACATGATTGGTTTAATGGTTACACTTTCTCATTAACAGATTTTTTAAAAAGTGTCTTTAACACCTTTCATTATTAATAATTGGTAATAATGATAACTTGGAGATGTTTTCTGGCAATCACAATGCCAAATCTTGCTATTAAATCTTAAATCATGTATTTTGCATCATTTTTCAGTGAATCCATTTACTTTATGCTCCATTCATTTCTAGGTTATCTTTTGTCAGATCTGCCATAGACACAGTCTATGTACCTGGAAAATAGACTGGAATAAAAATTAGTATAAAAAAGTCAATAAAGAAAAGTTAATGGACTTTTGTTTCTCAGGGTTGCATATCGTTGTCTTAGAGGACATGCATGAGGCATTTTAGCTTATTGAAAAATTAATAAATAAGAAATCTAAGAAATATCTAAGAAACAATATTTTACTTAATAGCTGAACATTAAAGCTTGGTATAACTTATGTCAGAAAATTTGATTTCAAGTACTAGAAGGTATTATTTGGAGCAGTGTGTCTTTCTATTGTGCATCATGAATGGGTTGTTGAGAGACGTTTTTTTTTTTTTTACAATGTATAGAAATCACATACAACAAAATAAAAAAGCTAGTCCTAAATCATTGTAAAGTTGAGCCATTTACATCAGATTCTCTGTTGGATTCCAGTTGTGACTTTGGTTGGGCCATTCCTAAATGTTAATATCGCTTCTAGGCTTTGATCAAACTAAAATATTAGTTTTGTGTTTATTTACAATGACTATCATTTACTTCTTCTGTTGAAGTCGTGGAGTTCTCAGTGTAAACAGGCCTGTCACGATAACAAATTTTGCTGAGCGATTAATTGTCTAAAAAATTATTGCGATAAACGATAATATTGACTAAGAATGCATGTGATTTCCTGCCATATATAAAAACACTATATTTTCAAAAGAACACATAATACTGGAACTGATAAAGTAAATAAACAAAACAATCAAAAACAAAAATAAAATTATCAGTCTCCATTAACAAGGAACTTACTTAAATAAAAACTAAACAACATAAAGCCAACGTGGAAATAAATACTGCATTCAACCAAAAGAGTGCAGATTATGAAGTCTGTATACTATATTGCCCTTCAGTAATCACTAGATTTAAATAGAGAAGATGGGCACATCCGACTACCTAATGCAATAGTTCACACTACATGATTTTTTGCCCCCATTTTGCCCTTAAGACAATCTTAAATCGTTGACCGATCTAAGATTGTCGCTGGTGATTTCGTAACCGATCATCCTGCAGTGTGTGATGTGTTACGGTAGATCGTCGTGGCCGCTCTGATCTAAATCAGAGGTTTTCCCCGACTGGGAGCTAAAAGCTGAATGTGACAGGTAGCCAATCAAAAAGCGCGGATTCTCCTCCGGGCTTTCTGAGGGTAAATTACGGAGGGGAATCCCAAACAGCTGACACAGCGCAACCCGAAGTCCAGCAGACATTGGAGATTATATGTGGAAACAGCATTAATATTTATTCAACATTTCGGGCAAAGAATGTAGAAATGACAAGGAGAGGAGTCGGAGCCAAATTTCTACCGCAGTTGATAAACCCTGTAAGTTTTCAGCTGTTCTTCGCTAACGTGATATAAATAGGTTACAAATATTTTCATTCAGTCAGAACTTTACGCTGACTCTAGCCACATGCATCACAGGTAGGTTCTAGTAAAGCATTGATTAATGCCTGATCTTAAAATTAGTTAACTGGACTTGTAGCCATTATCTTGTGCCCATGTGGCTGGACACCACACGGCACGATCGAACCCGATAGAGCCATTATACCTAGGATTTTTGTCGGCTAATGTGTCTCAGGTTTTGAAAATGGGCCGATGACTCGTGTAGTGTGCGCTGGACATTACACAAAGGAAATAGGAAGGGAGGGTCAGTAGAGAGCACCGGAGCTGAGCCTTTTTCATTCAGTGTCATCAACAGCAAGAAAAAAAAGGCAGAAAGAGACGATAAAGCTGATAATTAAAATGAGGTCGATAGATTTAATTTATCATGCGATTAATTGATATATGTTTATCGCGACAGGCCTAAGTGTAAACTACTTTTTTTCTTTTCCTCTCTTCCCAGTTGTATTTCATCTTTATTTCATGATTTATATTTTTATTTTGCACTTTTTGTAGTAACTGTTATCTGTTTTTTCACTTTCATTTTGTCACTTTACTGATGTTCCATCTCTCCCTCCATCTTCTTCAACTTTTTTCCAAGACTCTAAGCAGAATGGTGATGCAGCTGCCAATGCAGCAGCTTTGGCCAATGAGGACTGTCCTACCATCGATCAGGTTCTTGGGGATGAGCGTAGTCCAGTCACTGGAGGACTTGGCTCTAACACCAGCCGTGAACGGTACCCACACGACCGTGCCTGCTTTCTTCTGAGTGCTGGGGAGTTTCAGCGAACCACAGATGGGAACGTTCGGAAAGGTAAGCGAGCAACAGGAAAAGGGAACCTCAGTAAAAACAGTAAGATTTTACTGATGCATGTTACTGAAAAAATTATATGTTAATGACATGCAATGGTACAAAACCAGATTCAAAATGTACTGACACAATCAGAGAAATATATTTATACTTAAAAATTAAGTAATGTTTCTGTTAAAATACCTTCTTTAATACATATAAAGACACATCTTTTCACAGTTTCCTACCTAGAGCCATTATAAGGTGGTGCAACAGCTCAGCTTCATCAGTGTCACTCCCTTGAGACCGCTCAACTTTGCATGCACTATCTTGTGGTACATAAAGAATCGTTCAGATTTCAATGGCATTTGGTGGTCTCTTTGCCCTGAGTAGAAATTTATAAAGATCAAACCTAAAGTTTGAAGTAATAAAACGCAGCTTTAATACTTCAACCTTAATGTGCAATTTATGTCTTATCAAGATGAAAAATAATTCTTAAACTCACATACTTCAGCAGAACCAAACTCAGGCAGATGTAAGAGGCTAAGAACAGACAGAGAAAAGAGCTCAGTTGAGTTAGTTTTTTGGTAAAGGAGAATGATTTGTTATGTATGTCCCATAAATATCATTACTTTAGTATTTCAGACAAGCAGAGTACTTTAGTGACCTACAATCTTGGTGAGAAGAAATTCTTACATTTTCTGTTTGATCTGGTCTTTAACTGGTTCTAAAATTATTTAAATCTAACCCCAAATGTTTCACTAGATCATCAGTTATTACTAAAGTACTAAGAATACTTGGAAAGTATTGCAAAAATTAAGAATAAATAAAAAAATTTAAGATACAAAATCAATAATACCGTAACTCGCGTTTTCTTTTTTTTCTTTTATCTCTTAATATTCTGAAAATTATATGTCCTACATTGAAGAAACAAATACATGGGTTAAATTTTCTGCATCACTTTGAGAAAATATGGCACTAATTTAGACACTTTTACAAAGATGAAAGAGTGCTTTTGAATAAATAAGGTGTACAGAGTAACTAGAAAGCATATCTTACTGTGCCAAATCAGACACAATGATACTGAACAAAAAAGGGCAACTAATAAACTCACGTTAAACTTACACAAGATTCCCCCCCCCCCCAAACCACTTAGAACCCCGAAAGGGATGGGAT